GTGATCTGATTCAGAGAGAATATTGACTGGTGGCTTGCATTAAACAACAACAACAAAAAACACAGACACCTTATTTCGAGGGGTTCCCTTATCATCCATGTACAGGTTTTCACCAACTTTTAAGGTGATTAGCATCTGGAATCAGTTCAAATCTCCCACTAGCTATTAATGATCTAAGACATAAACATTTTAACCTCATCAAGTTTGGACTGAAAACCAAAAAAAAAAAAAAAAAAAGCGCCAAGAGCCAGGTTGCAGTTAATAATCACCTGATAGTTTGCTTTCCAGGAGCAGTGACTATTAAAAGAAATTCAGAGAACACAAGAAATCCACCAGACAGCTACTTAGTGACAGAACCAAATGAATATTGTTAGGTAAGTGTTTTAATAACACAGCATTTTCGAAGCATTTTCCCACGATCATTTCTAATTGGCCCCGTCATAAAGTAGCCGCAAACTGCCCTAAAACAGTGATCAGCTGGAAACCACCAGTTGAGCGAGTCTACAGCGGACTTGCTCCGAAATTCACCTGCGAAAACCCCAAGCCTCACGACCTGGGAGAAAAGTGCATTTGAAAGTCAGTGGCCTCTGTAAGGCGAGAACACCCCGCCTCCGGAATGCCACCTGCACCTGCGGCACCCCGCACCCTCCCCGGAGCCGGGCTGCGCGCAGGGCAGCGGCTGCGCAGGTGGGCCAGGTGAGCCCGCGCCTGCACGCGCGGCCGCCTCCCGCAGCCCGGACGGGGCGGCTCCCCAGGCGGCGCCCTCCCCGCCACCCCTCCAGGGCCCTTCCTCGGCCCCAGCCGGGCCCCCTACCCCCGACGCAGGGCCGCGGGGGCCGGGACCTGCGCGGGGGCGAGGTGGATTTAGCCCGCGTCCAGCTGAGATGGTATCATTAGCTGCGCACAGCGTGACTTCCCGCTAATCCTCTCTGCAACTTACAACAAGTTTAAATGTCCATGCATGATGTTATTAACTGGCTTTAGTAAGTGCTTAAGACCCGGATCTCTTTTTAAAAAGTAATCTCTGAACAAGTTCTACTGTAATGCACCCAACAAGGAGATTAATATTTCCCGCAAGTCTGATGGGGGGGAAGATGCGCCCCGAGCGCCGGCCGGACGGTGGCTCCGGGGTCCGGCCCCCGCCCGCAGCGCTGCCCCGTCCGGCACAGCCTTTCACGGCGTATTGGGGAGGGGGACACAATATCTTCATCAGGGATGCAGTCCCGGGCGGCGCCGGAGACCCTGTCGGCGGCAGGAACGCCCTGCGCCCGCAGGTTGCGCGCTCGGCGGCGGGAGCGGCCGAGCCTCGACGCCACCGCGTCCACAAACCCCGTCCAGCATCCCCCGGGCGGCGCTCAGGGCCCGAGGCGCCGGAACCTGCCTGTCACCGCCGACGCAGCGCGGTCAGCGGGGCCCCCCTCGGACGGGGCGCAGCGCGGCCCCGGGCTCTCCCGGGGCGAGCGCGGGAACTTGAGCTCCACAACTTGGGAGGCCTCTCAGCCCGCGCGCGCCGCCGCTCGGCCGCCGCGCGTGCCCCCCGCCCCCGCCCCCCGGCCGCGCGCCCGCCCGCCCCGGGAGCGCGCGCGCCGGCGCAGCAGCTCCGGCCGCCCGGGCAGCCCGTCTCCCGGGAAACACCAATCAGGAGGCCCGCTTCCAGGCGGGGGCCGCGAGCCGCCGCCGCCGCCGCCGCCGCCGCCGCTGCGCTGAGGACGCGGGCGGTCGGCGGGGCCCGGGCGGCGTCGCGCGCGCCGCCGCGGCCTGGTCAGCAGCCGGGCCGCTGACTCCAGTGTCCACCACCCACCCACCCACCCAACCACGCACACACCCTGGGTGCGCCGCCCGCGCCGGGCACCTTGACTAAACCCGGCTATTTTTAGATCTGCAAGACGGCGTCGTGCCCGCGCCCAGCCAAACCCGAGCGCGGCCATCAGGCACAGCAAGGTGCTCTCCCTGTGAACAAATGAGGCTCCCGACTCCCTTGGCTGGCCGCGGGCGGTCAGCCTCCCGGCCTCTGCGGCTCCGCCCGCTGTCCAGGCGGAAAGGCTCGGCGCCTGCCTCCGAGATGGTCCTCGGGCGCTGAGGACGGGCGCGCGGAGCCCGCAGCCCCACGCCCGGCCTCGCCCTTCGCCGCCTTAGAATTCACCCCTCGAGGAAGTCCTGCAACTCCCAGAACGGGGTGGAAGGGGGTCGCGAAGCACGTGGGGAGGCGGGTCTCGCCGCCCAGGTTGTGGAGGAAACCGGGCCCGGAGGAGACGCGGGAAAACAAAGCCCGCCCCGCAGGCCGCGTGGCCGTGGCACCTGCGTGGCCGGCCGAGGGGCGAGCCTGCCCACACGTGGCCGGCGACCGCGGGCGCCTTTTTCCTCGAGAACCATGGTTCTCTCGCTCTCAGTCGCACAGGACACCTGGGCCCACGGCGCCCCCTCACCGCCGCCGCTGCCAGCACCCACCCGCAGGCGCCGGATGGCCGTGTGCGCCCCTTGCCCTAGCGAGTTAAGGCCAAAGACTAGGCACTGCGAGGTGGAGGTGGAGAAGGGATCAAGATCCTCAAGCCATGAGGGCACTGCCAGAGGTCTGCATCCTCCTACGTATGAAACAGCCATACAACGCTCTGCGAGCTCTCTCTCTCTCTCTCTCTCTCTCTCTCTCTCGATCTCTCTCCTCCATCATTCATTTTCTGGCTTCATCTCTCCATATGTGAAAAGTCAGTTCTTAAAATGCTAACATTTCCTGAGATGTTTAGATGCAGGAATAGGACCTGCAACGTGCACAACGTTCGCTCTCAGTTATGAGGTAAGCAGTTCGCTCATTCTCCTCAGACTGTGCAAAATCAAGGTAGAATTCCGTTTTTCCAAATGAGCGAAAATCATTTTAATGTTTACAGTCAACACAAAAGCACCACTAGCAGGAGATGTAGTGTTGAAACTTACTCAAGAAACGCCACTTTGGAAAAAATACCCCTTTCTGAATGTAAATAATGCATTTATTCCAAGACTATCCATGTTAATGGTAACTTTGGTAAAGGATTACTAATAACCATGCATGTGTCCATTCTCACTCTGGAAGGGTATTGCAGAACTCGTGTGTGTGTGTGTGTGTGTGTGTGTGTATACACACACCTATATGATATGTAGATATATATACACAGATACTGACTTCTAACAATTTCCATTTTTGTTATTTTTTTGGATTTTCGTATGACTGTGTTTCTGCTCTGTCCTTTATAATTCCATGATTGGGTGACTTTTCTAGGAGCGTAAAGTAGGACGAGGAAAATAAGTTGGTTCTATCTTTGTATTTACTTCTGCAGGTATCACTTTATTGGCCTATTTCTAAGTATTTCATGAAAAGATTCTAGATGTCAAAACCTGAAGCTAATGTTCCTGTTTAGAAATACACAAAATAATACCTTTGACGTTGGCAACTCAGACGTATTATTCAGCAAAACAGCAATTACTCATTGTTTTGCACTTACATGTTAAGAACTATGCGACACTTGGTGACACAATAACAAAATTGCAAAGTCAATTATATTTAAAATAGACATGCTAATAAAACATACACAACCAACTCCCTGTACTCTCTTTGAACTGTTTTCTTTCCTTTTTCTGACTGTTTACAGTCAAATACACCGTGCATGTTAAATCTAAGGATAACTGATTTACACACATCACAAGGGGGGGGGAGGGTGATCTAAGAGGGGGAGGGGCCTGACCTAAAGCGGAAGTGTATTTCTGAGGATGGGAGAATCCACTCCAGGAAGGTGCCCCAGTGTTCTTGTATATTTTTGGAAATGCACCTCTCCCTATCCTTTTGCAGTGTCAATCACAGCTATAGTGGCAAACTTTGAAAGAGCAGCCTGCCAAGATCTGAGGCAAAGCTTAAGCTAGATTCGCACTGACAACTCCAACCAGCATGATGGCGATCAAACCCAAGGAGGGCCCGTCTGCATTTAAGAAGAGAGGGTTTCAGGTGGGACTAGGTGTTTGTTTTATTCTATTTTAATCGCACAAGAGGCAGTTTTGTAACTTGAACTTCCCAGTAATGAATTCCACCCCTCAACCCAGCCTGCAGCCTGAATTGAATCTCCCATCAGAAAATTAAAATGTCCGGATAAAATAACTTCTTAATGAACTCTCTGTTTCTTTTTTTGGTTTGTTTGTTTCTTTTTGTATTTTCTGCAATGTAGCCCCCTCGCAATGATATTAGTTCTAGTGTGGGAAAATATTATAATTGAGATCTGGTAAGTTTTATTGCAGACTTCAAGTTTTTCTTTACACTGTGCTGACATTTAGTACAGCCCTGGTGAGGAAAACAATACTACCATTCATAGCTCTAGACGTAGATTTCAATCGACTTAAGCGGGCACAATGAAACTTGGTCATTCACTGGTTACCCATATTGTGTTCTCAAATTTTCTCTCAGCAAAAGTATAATGACTCAGTATTGTATGGTTGCATAGACAAGGGCTCAGGACAAGAGACACTAGTTTTGTCTGACGGTGTGAGAAAGTCGTGAAGGGCTCTTTTCTTCCAGATGGTGTTAAATTCAGCTGCCTTTTTAACATTGGCCTTGCACAGCAATCTGCTGCTCCCTTTTCACAAAGACCGTGCTTGGTTCCCACTAGTTAACATGCATACTCACGCAACCTGCAACTTCACTCCAACTGTTTTACAATGCAGTGGTACGCTAAATCAACTTGATCCGGTTTCTGCCAATGTTAAAACTAGCTTTCAAAGAACTACTTAACTGATATTTACACTTCTTTTGACTTAAATGTACATGCCTTTGGAATATTTCAGATTTCAAAGAAATATCGCCTTATTAGCAGGTCATTGTAGAGATTATCTGGGACACCCTCCACGCCCATGCTCAGATACAGCACCTCCCTCCAACACATACAAATAAAACAAAATGTCAGAAGTTTGATGTGTAATAGGAAAAAGAAAAGTTGGGACATGTTGCAGCAAGAGCAGTGGAACAGCAAAAAATAAAATGAAAATAACATTGAAATGTATTTTTATTGATTGGTAAGTTATGCAACATTAGTATGATACAAAGCAAGTTGGATATGACAATGGCAAACACATAATTATAATATTGTTTATTTTCCTTAGATGTTGTAGTTAACATATTTACATAAAAGACCAAGATGTAGGCAAAAGCTTCAGTAATTTGACTCCATTGAGTGCTTTCAGTAAACAATAGGTTTCCCCAGCAAACATCTTATTGCCTTAATTGAACCTCCTTGAGAAAGAAAACCACACACTTTGTAATGTAAATGTTAATTGTAGTAGACAATGGTTCTAGGTAAATAGCACCCCTGGACATGAAGCAAATGAAAGGAATACAGGCACTTAACAATGAAAGGTTGTTTGCACAAACAGTGCTTCAAATGTAAATAAACAAATGTCTTCTTAACGGTCACTACACAGTAAAACTTTGGCACGTGTTCAGCAGCCAAATTGAGAATTCACACTAATCAAGTCTCTTGGAGTTTTTAACCGGCTTCTCCAGTGTGAAGTCTGAGAAGGAGTCGAGGCCCCAAAGGAAAATACACTTCCTTTGAAGAAAAAAAAAAATCATAGATTGGGGATGGTCGGTCGTCTAGGCCACGTGGAAGCCAGCAGGCTGTTTTGGACTTTTTTTTTTCCAGTGGCAATGGCCGTATGGATGTGTAAACGCCTGTACAAATGTTTGCTCGGTGACAAGTGGGAAAACATGAGGCCGTTCAGTAAAAACCACAATGGAGACCTCCAAAGACCCCCAAAGTTCCTGCTAGGCACAGTTATTCTTAGATTAAATGAAGATGGCTGTTAGAGCTCACCTAGCTGGCACTTAACTCCAAAGCAACCTCTTCTCATACCGTCGTCGTCATCAACTTCCTACAGACTGAGGACTTGCGAGTTTGGCCTCCAGTGCACAGCTACCAGCACAACCAGGCCAAGGTCTCAGCCGTGGCCCGTGCTGGCCCGTGCAGAGGTAAACAGCCCGAGGGAGTGGTGCTGATGACTATTACACGGAGATCTGTATCTCAAAATAGAACCCAGCCAAAACAAAAGCCTAAAGGGCCTCAGGTACAGACTGCCCATGTGACACCAGGGACGCAGGCCCCACGGATGGAACTTTCTTGGAATCCATCTCTACGAGCTTTCCTTAAATAGTGAAAATCGCACCCGAAGAAGCAAGCCAAACTTCATTACGGCCAGATCACACAGCGGTTTAAAAAAAAAAATTAACAGAAATACACAGTGTGCACCAGCTACAGGCCAGTTGGTGCTGCCATGTGGGAGGCTGCAGATGGCTGTGGGTGGGAAATGCCTTTACTTTCTTAAGCGATGGAGATGAGTATGGTGTGTGCACTTGATGCTTTTTTTTCATACTCCCACCCCCCAACAGGGCTGTCTGTCATAGGCTGCCGGCTCGCTCTACCACTTGCCCCCGAGCGTGGGAATCGCAGCGTCCTGCCGTTCTCATCTCCTGCACGCCGTTTAGCGGAATCAATTAGGCAAGACAGACCCTCGGATTCCCCACCCCCTTTCCATTTTTGTCAGGTCTATATACGTCCTAATTATTTCAGTTTGGGATGCCAGAGCTGTTTCCTGGATAGGCCTGATCATCCTTAAACAAAAAGAGAGGAGGCGCACACGTGGGTTGTGGCGTAAATGTCACTTTCATTTCCAATGCTAGGCGCAGAGTAAGACAGAACATTTTTTTAACACTTTGACAAGAGGGGAGGCGATCTCGTCTCCATCATGTCTTTCTGCTTCAGTAGGTTCCTCAAGGAAACCCTCTCGGAACACAGAAGCATCTGTCCTTGTATTTTGAATAGAAGAAAAAAAAATCAGGCTTTGCTTTTTTTTTTTTTTCATTTTTCCCTGCTAGCTCTAAGTCCTCAGTAGACATAAATTATTAACCTTCCAGCATAAAGTTTTCTGAAAGTCCGATTTCATATCATTTGACAGCCAAATACAGGGAGAGCAGTTTTGCAGCCCTGGTCCTCACACTCGGGGGTAGGGGGCTGGGGAGGAGTGGTGGGGGGAGGCGTGGGGAGGGGTCTCAGAAGGCAATGCCCATGTCCACCCATGATGGAATCATTTTTAAAGCGAGGCACCAGACATCTCCACAACAGCTTTCCAAAGGGGGTGTGGGGGGTGTGGGTGGGTGGGGGGCGCCTGGACTGTAAACTTCTGCCTGCAGACGGAGCACGCGGCACACGCAGGGTCCCCCTCGCCCCGGCCAGGCCCCCGCCTCGCGGCACGCAGGAAGCAAGCCCAGCACACACACACTCACGGACTTAGACTCAGTAAGCGCCTCTGACCTTTCGGTTTCTAGGGTCTCTGCGCGGCGGTCCCGCTCGCGGCGACCTTGAAGCAGTTCTTACTTTCGGTTATCTAGCTTTATGAAGGCCAATACACTCATACAGCTAGATAACCAAAGATAACAACTGGCTTCCCTCGCTCGCCGGCTGCGCGTCCCCGTCCTCGCCGCGCTCCTGGGCTTGCTCCCCGCGGGCACTCGGGACCCGGCTTCCGTTTGGTGCGCCACCGTCCACGGCGGAGCTGTCGCCTTCGGAGTTCATTCCCAACTTTTTTTTTTTTTTTTTTTTTCCGTTCAGCAAGTAATCTCCGGCAGCGTGAGCCAACCATTCATCTATTAATATCAGAAAATAAAACCGGCTATTACGGTGCAGCAAGCGGCTACGCGGGAGCAGCGGCGTCCGTCCCTTCTCAGGCCTGTATTTGCATTGTAAATGGCTTCGTTCTCACGCAAGACTCTCCAGCCTCCCTCTATGGAGACGTACAAAGCCCACGGCAATCTCCAGCGCAGGTTAAGGAGGAAGGAGGAGGGATCAGCAGAGAGATAGATCTCACAGAAAAAAAAAAAAAACAAACCCAAAAAAAAACCCCAAAAAAAAAAAAAAAAAAACCAGAAAAATCCCACTCTCTAGAAGTGACAGCTGATTCAAGGATCCGCTCCCGATCCTTTGGGGTTAGGCATCATGAGCCTTTATATCCTGCATATCTTCTTCTCGTCCTACCAAGCGGCGGCAGCTGGATGGCACGGATCTTGGGTGTGTGTGTTTTAGGGGGAAGATCTTCGGTTTCGCGGGGCTTCTGGGCGGGGGAGGAGGGAAGGTGCCCGTCCTTGCTGGCGCGCTGCTGCCCCCGGCCTGAAAGAAGGAGAAAAGGGGCCGTCATTTGCAGGGGCTCGCACTGCCAAACTGCGGGCCAGCCCGGCAAGGTCAAAGGTTCGAGACCGCGGGAGACCACGGTAATGATGATGTCATGAGAAATCTCAAGTACACGGTTATTGATACGCATCGGCGATCCGCCAACCGCCCCACGCCCGCGGGCCGGGCTGCTCGGCCGCCGGCCCCCTGCGCTGAGCCCACGCGCCTTCCGCCTGCTCCCGCGCGCGGCCTGCTACCTCCTCGGCGCGCGTGCCGGCGGCTCCACGAGCCGCGGGCTGCAAGAAATCTCTGGCTAAGGACCGATCTGAGCCTCCTGGAGGTGGGGTGGGGGTGGGGGACGCCCGAGCCTGGCTTCGCTTCTTTCTGGCAGACTGCAGACAGCTGGAAGGCACTTAGCTGTCGCTGGCGGCGGGGCTTGCGTTCTGGGGGCTGGGAGTCAGGGCTGCGTGGCGCAGGGAGTCGGTGTGTGATTACATTGACAATCGGCTCTGCTGGGGTGTTTTTGTCAAGGCTTCTCAGCGCGGTCCTGTTTGGTATCTGTGTGCCATGGCCATGGGGCAGCGGATCTGGTTCTCTGAGTTCACACTGAATGCTCTAAGCAAGCGGACTTCATCCGGGTGGTGCTGTTAATATTATTATTTTTTTAAATGACTGCATAGATTGGATGTGTGCAGCACAGGTAAAAACGGTGCACATTGCAGCAATAGTTTCCAAGGTTGTACACAATTCATTAAAATGCTGAGCCTTTGTCTATTGTTTTAAACGTGGTTTTTACACCGAAGGCCAAAACGGGCTAGGCTTGCTTATGAAACTCTGAAAAAAGTATTGTCACCTCATGGAACACACAGACAAGACGCCTGGATGGGAACAGCACCACTCCACCCCCACCGGCGACACCCCACCCCCACCTTGCCTCCATCTGCAGGGGAATGTTGTTTTATTAATTAATTAGCCTCATTCCTTCTCTTAGAACTTTGCCAAGTGTGAATGTGATCACTTCAAAGAGTCCTTTTCTTCCCCCTCTCTCCTTCATAATGGACAATCTATGCCATGCATCTATAACAAGCATACTTCTAGAATACTCAGATGCCACTCAACAAAACATCTGAGTTAGTTTACCTGAAATGCACGTTCACCATGAATGAACCTGACGGACTACTTCTTCAAAATTATGAGTTACTTTTCAAAATGATGGTGGTGTTACCATGCTTCACAATATTTGCTACCAAAGTATGCAATAAAGCTTAATACCCATTACAACACATCACCACTTTATCACCATATCCTCATTCCTGTAGGTTGACTATTTTCCCCATGACTACAAATACTTTCAGAATTCACACACACTCTTTCATTAATTCAGTCATTTATTCATTTAAGATATGAGTGTGAATATGCTTACCAAATTACAAAAAGAACACAGATGTATAAAGCCCATGGAAAAGACTGACAAGCAAAGAAAACCACAATTACTAGGAAAAGCCCCCAATCAAGAGTTCAAACAACAATATCACACCAATTAAAGACATGATTTAGTGACACAGATGCCAACTTCCCCCCCCCCAGATTTTTCTTTATTTACTTTTTTTTTTTTTTTTTTGGTAAGCATTCTGGTACTGATTATTTAGACAAGACTAAGCAGTGGAAGTCACTGTTTTCTGTTTTACTTATCAAATTATAACACAACAGGCAGGATCAGAAATGGTTGCACTGGGTTATATATAGAATGCACATGCACACTGCAAACTAATTCAGAGAAACACATTCTCATGGAGTTACAGTTCCTTGTTGGACTATGTGGTCACAACAGCGACTGCTGAATAAAAATGGAACACATCACTAAGGCACATGCCACTTCTGACATTATGTAAAACTCTAATGAGCTTTGCTGCTGTGGAAGATTGAAGAGTAGCATGGCCTTGCTTTCCAAGACCTGGAAGCAGAATCCTTAATGATTTGGCTTGTCTTACATAAAGCAAAGCATGTGATCAGACAAATGCAATTCCTTAAGTCAAAGCCCAAGAAATTCCAGATATATTTAGAATATCTTTTTGCTTTAAATCTGTATCTAGCTGGGGGCTGGTGAAAGTAGAGAGATTGGAGGCATGTATGTCTGTGTTTATCATCCCCCTATTTGTGTGAATCTGCACATTTATATGGGCTGTAGCTGCACACCAACAATTCAATGCATTTTTAGAGCTAAAGTGCCTATTATGAAAGCCAGCACACTGAACATTTGAGATGCATGTACAATTACAAGCTGCAGGAGATGCATCGTCCAGGGCCATGCCATGCCGTCATATCAGCTTTCTCCAGGGCTGGCCTCCATGCCTGGTACATACACCACAGATTCATCCTTGGGGCCTCAATAAATGAAATGAGCCAACATGAGGAGTACAGGCAGTCTGTTCATTAGCCAGATAGCCAATTAAATATTTTACCTCTCCATCATCTCTCAGAGTACGAAGAAACAGCAACAACAAAAATGCGTAGTAAAGCTTAACACTGGGCACCTTAACATATTGAATAGTACCAAGGTCTATCATGTATATTTTAAGGAGTCTATTATTATGTGGGATGTGAGACAAGTTCAAACAATTGTGCAGCTCCAAAGATTCCTAGCAATGTCTGTCACTCGTTGTCAAGAGCAACTATTAACACCTACGTGTTTTTAGAGCAGATATTTTTGCTTTCACAAAGCTGTTTAGACGAGCCACAGCACACTGTTTTGAAAATCTGCATATTGCAGGATATACTGAATTCAGATGGCTTGCCTGCTCTTTCTCTAATAAATTCCCATTAATAGCCAGTAGATTAGGACGTGATTGTCATGCTTGTTTTCTAATCTTTTTATAGGTCTCCAGATGGCTGAAACATGAATTGAAACATCCTGGCTTACTGTGGAATAAACAATCTCTGCTTAAGTGAAAAGTGAAAAGTTCTGATATGCTACATATCTGGATCAGAATTATGCCAGTCCATGAATTCAAATACATCAGGTTTTGTCACCAGTATTTAGAACCTTATTCAGACTACTGCAGAGTACATAAAGAACTGGCCTATCACCAATATTCCTCTTTCATATTGGTTTGTATGATTCTCATGCATGTAAACTACAGGCCACTGAGACAGTCAAGACAACTATTTGCTTTATCAAAGCCATTTAATTTGCAGAGATGCATATAGTTCAAGCAAGGTGCTCGACTGACTTATTCTCCAACAAAAGTATTATCTTATTTCTTCTTTATCCTGAGTTTCTTTTTGATAGGCAGTTACAGGTTATTTTTATATTCTGCTAGATATATACTATGCAAAGGGGGGATCCACATATGGAAACTTAAGATATTTTTTCTAGAATTCTGTCTTTTACATGAATTGGGAGATATGCAACACACCACAGGCCTGCCACCCAGCAAATAATATTCTATTTTGATTTTGTACATAGCATGGATTTTTAGCAAATGAAAAATTTTAAATTACCTTTGGTTGGATGGATTATCTATTCATGTTATGCTTCTTTGCGGTCTCATCTGAAAAATAGTTAAGGAAACAAAAGATCACGGTTTTAATATACATATATATACATATACACACACACATAAAATCATATCTAGATGTGGCATCATTTAAATATAGCGATTACCATGATTCCTTAAAATGCCAAGATCCCATAAAACCCCAGTACAATGCATCTTGGGCCTCAGCACCCACAGGGTTAAATATGCTAATTTGCATTTAAATGGAGACATGCATGATAATGGGAATGCAAAATACGCAGAATCTGGAGGGGTTTGGGAAATTAATTTTTTCTTTCTTCTTTTATTTTTAGCTTGGAAGGAAGAGAGACTCTTAAGAAACATTAGGGATTTGAACCTTGAAACCTGCCCTACAAAAGAGGAGGGAAGAGTCTTCCATGGCAGGATTTTAAGACTGGAACAAAGTCTTATTTTCTGAATGTTTAAGAGACTGAATTTCCAGGCCCTTCAAACAATGGGAATCCCTGGATAAATGTCCAATCCATTAGAAAGATGCAAATAGTTTACTGTAAGGCCACAGCACGGTGAGATGTGCATTCATATGGATGGCTCCTGATTGGCTCTTTCCTCCGGTAAATCAATGAATAATGTAAAACCTGATTGCTGTAAAGTAGTGCATTTTTTTTTATTCCCTTCCCCCACCCACCTCAAGACCCAATATTCGGGAGGTCTTACACTGTCGAAAACAGGTTGCTTTTCTCTTACGGCTTTTTAAAAAATGCTTATTGTTATTTTGGACTGGCGGGGTGGGGCTGCTGGTGGTGCAAAATGAAAGTACTGCCCCGGGTTCAATGATGCTGACTAGGGGAGCTCACTTGCCGAGACAGCGCCCCAATTACTGGTGCCAGGCCGTGGAAGAGTGGTGGGCAGAGGGGGGCATCAGGAGAGGGAAGCAACTGCATCTGAGCCTGCGCTCTCGGGGCCCAGGGCGCACACAACTGCAGAGGGGCCCCCGGCCGTGACCGTGGCCTGACAGGGCCTCTGCTCTAACTTCTGGTCAGTTTCCCAGCTGCCCTGAGCCCTGGAGACGGTCTCCCACGCAAGCACCCAGGTACACTGCGCCCCAACCCTACCGCACGTCCACGACGGGGTTCCCTTTGCCCCGGGCTCCCGCAGGTAATTCCTGGCGACGGGAAGGAGGTCTCGCCTCCCTCGCCCAGCCGGGTCTGCGCAAAGACCAAGCTCGGCTCGGATCCCGGAAACAGCTGAAGCTGACCCAGCCTGAGTCCCAGTAAGTAGCCACGAAGAGGGCTGCATCTTGATGGGGCGTGAACTCGAGACAACCCCGCAAAGCGACCTCTCGCCTCCCCAAATCCAAAAGGCAAAGCGAAAAAGACAGTGGAAACCCACCCCTTCTATTTAGCTACTGGACGTGAAGTTTTCCGCCAGGATCTAGTCAGACCCTCCAGGTAATCGCAACTTTGGGTCGGATAAAATGCGGCCAACGACCGAACACGCGAATCCAGAATCCAGGAACGCCAAACGCCAATCGTGTTCAGCTCCAGGTCCGAGAGGGCAGAGTCCCGCCACCAACACCACCAAATCACAGACAAGAATGCCCCGGTCCAGTGCGAACACTTCCTGGCATCTCTGGGCGACTGCGGGGTCAGGCCGCTGGGTAATTAACAGTCTTGGCTCAGACAACTCACGAGATCAACAGGTTTAGCATCCGAAGCACACAATCAATTAGCTGAAGCAAAGCCCCGGACTGGCCCTCGGAGCGGCCCGCAGCGGGGCTGTGCGCACGGCGGCTTGCGGGGGGCAAGGGCCGCGGCGGGCACTGCGGGCCCCGCGCCGCCGGCCGGGCTGCAGAGTGCGGGCCGCCTCCGTGCTACTCACTTTGCTGTCCCCGCGCCGCCGGGCAGTGTCGCCCCCCAAATCCAGCGGGGTGGGAGTCGTGGCGCCGGCCGGAAGACCACATCCAGAGCCAGAGCGCGGCCGCCGCAGCACGCGCGCGCATATATACACACACACACACGGAGAGAGAGAGGCTCCATTCGGCGTCTCCAAAAAAAAAAAAAAAAAAAAAAAAAATCAGATCATTCCTCTCCTCTCCGCACATTTAAAACTGCCGCTCAATTCCACATGGTGATGCTTGCTTGGTTTCCGCGGGTCTTCGCTTCTGCGGAGAGAGAGGGGCGCGGGAGGAAGAGGCAACTTTGCCCCCACGCCAGGCACTTGCTCCCTGCGCCTCGGAGCGGAGAGTGAAGCGGTGTGCGCCAGGCTCGGCAAGTTTTTGGGGGGGCTGTCCAAGGTCTAGTCCAGCCCCCTCTGGCGAGGAGGACGTGCTCTGAAACCCAACCAATTTCCCCCCTGCTTTTGTTACTGATGAACTGAAGCCCTATTGTTCATCCATTGCCACGGTCTTTTTCAGTCCCCACACTGCGTTCTGCGTTGCCAGAGATAATGAATTTGCACCCAAACCTCTCACAGTCCCCTCCTGACAGACGGAACAAATCAGAAATCTCGTCTGAGGCCGCGCAATGGCTACATTTCCCCATTGTAGGACGCAAGGCACGCATTTCTTTGGAAACTTCTTTTCCCTTTTCTTCTCTGCAGTTTTTTTCTCCTCTTGCTTTCTTAACCCCCCCCCTTTTTTTTAAAGAATCGTCTTGTTTTTCCAATGCACCATTTTACGTAACTTGCCAGTCCTGCTACGGTCCCTGCTCCTTTCTTTTCTTTTTTAAGGACTCCCTTTGCCATTTTATTTACAAACTTGGAGAATGACCTTTTGACTTGCAGACTTTTTTTTTTTAAAGAAAGGTCTTTTGGTTTAAGTTCCCCTTTTCCACTGCTCCCCCTCTTTCTGTTGTGCTTGGTACGTGTGCTGGACTAAAGGCAGGCCCTACAGTCTTTTTTTTTTTAATTCCCTAAACTCCAGAGCGGTTCCAAAGGCAGCAGGGACGCGCCATAGGGGTTATGGGTTTGAGAGGGAAGAAAAGCGCGGGCGCGCGCGTGTGGTTGCGTGTGTGTGTGTGTGTGTGTGTGTGTGTGCGCGCGCGCGCGTTTCCCGGGGAGACACCGAGGGATGTGGGCGGGTGGGGGTGGGAGTGTGCAGAGAGCAGGGTGGGGGCCCGGAGGGAAGGTGGGCTTCCTGCAACACGAGCGGGGAGGCGGTGTAGGAATTCGTCCCGCCGAGGGCTGCAGGCCCACCCCCTCCCCCCGGCCTGCCCCGCTCGCCCGGGGCCCGCCGCAGCCGGGCGCGGGTGCCTGCGCGCGGGGCCGGAGGCTCCAAGCCTGCGCGCGTGCGGCCGGGGGCCCCGCGGAAACGCAGCCGAGCGGCCCCTATGTAAATGCAGCCCGGGGGGAGCGGGGAGGCGGCCGTGAGAGCCCCTCCGGCGGCCCCCGGCTTTTCCCGCCAAGTGCAGCCGGAGGACACACAGCCATGCGTGTCCTTGGCGGGAGGGCCCTGCCCGCCGCGCGCGCGCGCGCCTGCTCGCTCGCCCCCCGCGCACACGCACACGCTCGCCTCACGGGCGCGGGGCTCGGCGGTCGCGAGCCTGCCAGGAAAACAAAGCTGCGGCTGCGAGGCGGAGCGCAAGGCGAGGCGGCCCGCGGTGCCGCTGCCTGGCCCGCCCGCTGCCCGGGCCCCGGCCCGCCGTGGCGCCGAGGACCGTGGCGCGGACACTGGGCGAGCCCAGGCGCGGCGACGAGCGCGGGGAGGCGCCGCCGCCGCCGCCCCGCCCGGCGCGCGGGCACGCACACGCCGGGCGCCCGGCGGCCGCGGGGAAGCCTGCAGGCCTCCCGGCCGCGCCTCGGGAGCCGTGGGCTCCGAGGGACACCCACGCCGAGGCCACATCCGGCGGGACGAGCCCCTTTCCACCCTCCCCAGACAATGCCGGCGGACAGGCCTCCGCCCTCCCGCGGGTGAACTCGAACCCCAGCCGGGGAGCTCTCGGCCTAGATGGCTCCGCAGTCCAGTCCCAGACGTGGCCACGGAAAGACACGGGTCTGCCCTCTTCCCCCGCAGCGCCTGCCTCGGTGCCCACCAGCCCAAGCACCTCCCGGCACACACACACACATACACACACGCGCGCGCGCGCGACACTCCCATCCCAGGAACACGCGCGCCCTTGCACTGCTGTGCACGAAGCCGACACGCAAAATGAGTGCACAGGTAAACAGGTACCGAAACGAGAAGCGACCGGGCGATTTACCTCTCCCTACTGGGAACACGTGTGGCTTATGGTGTTTTAGGAGTGGTTTGCTGTTGTCTGGGGTCTCCCCCTCCTCTTCGTGTGGAGAGAAGCCAAAAAAAAAAAAAAAAAATCACGCTCCACGGGCCTGGGCAGTCTTCGTTCTGATAAGCTACCCAAGCACCGGTCTGAAAGCTTTGGGGATTCGGTTTGGTTTGTGATCTGTTGTTTGGGGCGTGTTGTTTTTCTGGGGGCAGCAGAAGACGTGTATTGGGTGCGGCTGGAGGCCCAGGGCTGGAGCCCGCGGCGCCGAGCGCGGGCGGCGGCGGCTCGTCCTCCCCCGGGGCCGACCCCAGCCCCCTGGGTACCACGGGCCTGGGTCCGGCCGCCGCCGCCCGCGCTCGCGGGCTCCGCCGGCTGCCGCTCCGTGTTTTCCCCCATCCCGGCTTCACGTTCAAGGTTTAGCTGCGAGGTCACGTCCATTGACGTCAGCTCCCTGTCTCCCTCTACGTCCGGCTACATTTACATACATCAAGGAAATTAGGGCATTAAAAAAATATGCAAATCCTGCGCGGAGAGGAGCGGGTGCATTCCTGGCGCGATCGCCTTTTATTGAAGCTTTTAATTAAAGGGGCCAGTTGGCGAGCCCCTGAAACAACCGCCAAAACCCCCCAAAAGAGAAAAATAAACGCTGTAGCCTTCGAGAACGGTTGTTTCGGCTCCTGTTCTGTGGGCGGCTGAGGACCGCCGGCTGCCCGGCTCGGAGAAGAACAGGTTAGAGGAGGCAGCTCCAGCCCATGCATAATCAGGGCTCCGCGGCGCCTCCATTCTTTCCTCCTCCTCCTCCTCCTCCTCTCCTCCTCCTCCTCCTCCTCTCCTCCTCCTCCTCGTCCTCCTCCTCCACCTCTCCTCCACCTCTCCTCCTGCTCCCGCTCCTGTTGGTTCCAGCCTATATTATTTTTAATACTGATGCATATGTAAAGGTATATTTGCATTTTTTTAATTCGCGAAAATTTCAGGTTGTATCGTGTTGTTGAGCCTCTCTCCCCCGCTTCTTTCGGCTATTTTACTACGTCTCTGTCTTCTCATCCATTTCCGTCTGTCTTTTATTTATTTATTTATTTATTTATTTATTTTTTTGGCGAATGTCTGCTGCTGTCTATTGCTAAATAATATACACAGTTGCCTCCTTGCTTCTGTTTATTTAAGGTTACAAATATGCATATCTGTCGTGTATGCATTGCCAGATGTATAACCTCCTAGTCCGGTCATAAAAGAAAAAGACACATTTTTTTTTTCTTTTCTGACATACCCATCGCTCAAGGCTCAAAGTTTGTCTAATTAACTTCATATTAGCAGAAGCATGGTTCGGGGCCAGTGCATTGAGATAATGTGTGTGTGCGTGAAGAGATGCCAGAGGTCTCTAAACAATTTTTGTGTGATTCATTGAGTGGTGCCGCATTCACCGCCCTATTGCTTTCTTAGCTTTTCTTATTGTAAAAAGAAAAGTCTATTTTAAAATGTGTAGACACAGCAATGGACAGCCTTCTGCAAGGAAGACATTTTCAACCATGTTGTGTGTTGTACCGGGTCTGCTGCATTCAGAATTTACAGTTTCATTTTTATCTTAATATGGCTGGAAACAAGGCACATTATCTTGATGGAAAAGCATCCTTAATCCCTGACTTTGAAATAAAAACAAATACACAAACAAAACAGCTGACTCTATTAAGCCAGTTGATGTGCTGTAAAATATACAGGCCTTGATTTAGATTTCAAGCAATGGTAATCTTGTTTATAAAGTAGGATTCTCCTTCCTGGCAATGTAGATATTCAACATGATAGCTTTTAAATATATATATATGTACATATACATATATATACACACACATATATATTCATTTCACTTCTAAAATGCCCGCAAACCTATCATTTTAAAGAGACTCAACACATAATTACATCCCCACAAAGAACAGGAAATGTGCACACATGTAGCTTATTCAATCAAACGCGTCCAAGTACATGCACAGGTAATTAGTTTTCTTATGAATGACTTACCTGCACAGATACTGGGATGAGACTCAGCCCTCCCCAAGGGCTTTCATGTGTAAATATTCACATGTATTCCCCCATTCCAAACCTACAGCTGTGTGCCATCTTGCATACTGGACTCTCCAGCATCCATTTTTAGCACCCTGGATTCTTATGGCATTTCCAGCCTTACCTCTGGCTGTAGTTTTTCCAAGCCTACACCAAGTGCTCATATGATATGTCACCCAATAAAAAGTGGTCAGATGGCTACACGTAAAACATTAAAAATCGAAAACACACTCATCCCTCAGGGCCGCCCGTACCTTGCTGTGTATAGCAAGATTCCATCTCCCAAAGTACATTTTCAGCACATCTTATGAATAATTGCAGGATTCCACAACTGGTTGCAGAATTGCTGGACTCAGGGTGGGGTGGGGGCGGGAGAGGGGGAGGGGGCACCGAGCTGAGTAGAACCATTCGGCAGGCTAAATGGCTCTCCGAGTTTGGCAGCAATTAAATTGTGCGTGGCTGTCCGCTTCTGCCTGGACCCTGGGACATACTTGCCTGCCTTCATGCAGGCTCAGGACCCACACACGCGCCACGGTGCAGGGCACAGAGTGTCGGCGCACGTATTTGGATGGCAGTAGCAAGGACCGTGTGTATGCACGGCTGTCTAAGCATGCATGTGTGCACAGATGCGTGTGTGTATGTGTGTGTGTGTGCGCGCGCGCGCGCTGCGTGACAGGGGACCGAGAGGGACACCTCTTATCTCTGATCTCTCTGTAATCTCCTTTTCTGCTTCTAATCTCCCTTATTGGCGCTTGGTCGTACCCCGAAGCGTGTGAACCGTCACCGTGGCTGCCTGTGCGCGCTGTGGCTTACCCTGAGGGCCCGTGGCTCGGTGGCTTGCTGGCTCAGTGGGTGTTGTGGCGGAGGGTGGGTAGCGCCGCTGCCGCCGCCGCCGCGGGTCCGGGAGCTCTGTCCCAGCCCGGCAGCGGAGCGCGCGGTGCCGGAGCCCCCTCCCACCCCGCCCTCACCCCCAGCCTCTCCTCCCCTCCTCTCTGCGCCTCCCCCCGCCCCACATTACCATATGGAGGCCGAGTCCCTGCGAATCACAGCAGCAGCGGGCGGTATTTGAATAAGCCCCGCTACCCGGCGCAGACCCCAACTCCTCCGCAGGCAGCTTGCCCTGCACCGAGGGCCAGCGCTCGGGCCAGAGACGTGGCCACGACCGCCACCTCCCCAAAGTGGCCTGCGCGCACGGGGGAAGAGGGCCGGCTCCGGGCGCCAGGCCTCCCACTTGCTACTTTTCTATGAACTTGACGGATGGAATCAGACAATAAATTAGAGAGAGGGAGAGGGAAAGAGAATGGGGGAGGAAAGAGGAGAGAGAGGAGAGGAAAAGGGAGAGGCGCTAGAGAGAGGGAGAGGAAAGACGGGCGAGAGAGGGAGAGGAAAGGGTTGAAAGAGTGAAATGGGAACCAGGCGGGGGTAAGGACGGCAGGGGCGAGAAACACCCCAATATCTGAGTGTGGATTCCTCCAGCTAAAAATACCACCTCGCTAAACTTCACAACCTCCAATTAGACTCGTGCCCCCCCCCACTCCACGTCACCGAATGATTAATTCGCTGTCTCCATCAGAAATAATTATTGAGAATTGTATAGCAGACATAGGACTGAATAGCGAGGTGCCAATTTGATGAAACCTAGCCAAAAAAAAAAAAAAAGGCATTTAAACATAATGCTGGCCACCTCACGCTAAAAATACAGTCTCGCCACGAGGACTTGCTTGTCCAGCCACGTCTCCTCGGAGGAGACAGCGGCCCAGAGGCTGGAACAAAACGCGTTCCGAAACACTCTGGCCTCGAAGTGATAAACGTTCTTTATTCCTGCTGGAGATTTGCTGCGTTTTCCTTTTTTCCCCCAATTTGACTTTTTGCCTCCCTTTCCCTCCATCACCCTCCCCCCCCCAAAAAAAAACCCCACAGATAAAGTGTGAGTCTTTGAAAATATTTGCTGCATAGTGGCTAATGATGTTCAGCCTTATTTTAAGCACACGGCCAGTTCCATTTTGCATACCCAGGTGCTGAACTGAGCGTGCTCAGGGCGGCCTTCCCCTCCCTCCCTCCCTCCAAATCCGATTTCCCTGTAGAAAATAATCAGAATCATCCTGAAAATGTCCGGGCACCTATAGGATGGACCCATTGTAAGTGTCCCTCTCGGACTTGCCCCGGCCAAAACGTCCTCCCTTTGAAACACACACACAAAAAGGGACGCGTCTACTGGATCTGCGCGGCGCACCGAGGCCCAAGGGCGCGGAGCCGCGGGACGCCAGTGACCGGCGCAGAATGCTCAAGTCCGCGGAGCTGAACGCAGACACCACCACCCCGCCCGCAAAGACGCGCTACCCGCGAGGTTTCCGCGCACCAGCGGCGCTCGGCGAGCCGCGCTTCGGAGGCGAGGTGCGGCGTTCCGAACACCGAGGGCCTCCGTGCCGGGGCAGGGGGCTGCGCCCCTGCGTGCTCAAGAAGGCGGCAGCGCACGCACGGGCCAGGCCCAGGCCTATAGTCTTTTTCTTTTGTCTTTCTTTTTATCCCCCACCCCGCCTTTCCTTAGGCAAGAATTTGGAAGCCACTCCGCTCCTTCCGTGGCTAGCTCCCACGGAGCTGGGATTTCAACCTCGGGTTTATTTATTTATTTATTTTTTAAAAAAGCCAGTGCGTCTCCCTGTGGAATGCCCAGGCTGGAAAATTTTGACCCGGCTGCGCTCCAGGCCCCGCCGCAGCCCTGGACGCCCTGGAGAGAAAGGAGGGGAGGGTCGGCCAGCAGCGCAGGAGGCCGTCTGCGAGCTGCTTCCGTCGGGGGCCTCGCGTGTCGTCCCCAACAGACCCGTCTCGCCCTTCTCTCCCCGAGTCCGACCCGGGCTGACTGCGGCCGTGGCCAGGTGAGCCAGGGCACGGCCGGGAAGCGTCGGTGGGGGCGGCAATGGCCCTGCTCTTGAGCTCCGGCGGCTCTGCGCCCCCCGCCCCGCGCCCTAGGCTGAGTGGCGCTTGGGGCCCGCGCGGGGCTCCTGGCTCGCGCCGGCAGGGGAACAGCGACACCTACTGGCCGCAGCTGTACCGCGCCCGGGGCCGTCGGGGCGGCCCAGGGCTGGGGGTGCCCGGCTTCGTGGACCTAACTCCAAGGCACTGCAGACCCCGCTGGGCTTTGGATGCCCGGGGAAGAAAGAGCCACCGTCTCTAGAGACCTGAAGGGTGGGGCCTTACCAGACGGGGCCGGACTCTCACGCACAACCCCCTCCAGCCCGTGGCCCTTTCTTCTGGGGAGCGCGAGAAGCGCCCGCAGACGCTGTTGGCCAGGCAACCCTTGGTTTTGTAAAAGACCCAGGCCGAGGTTGGAGCCTTGACCGGCTCGGGTTCGTGACCCGAGCGTCTTCTCCACCGCCCCCTTTCCCGCACGGACTCCAGAGAACATCTTTACAAATTTGAAACGGAGGGAGAGCTAACATTTTCCTCCCTAAAGAGGGGAGACGGGTGCGTCCAGGGCGCCGGCCCCGTGGGCACCTTCGCTGCGCCCTTGCCGTCGCCGCAGCCGAGGTTGGCATTCGCTAGGTTTTCCTGGGCAGCCCTGGTGGTCTTAACGACTCCCCAGTGCGGAGTGTGGGTGAGATTTTGCCCTCTCAGGGCATGCGTATGCGTATTTAAAGCGTGTGCATTAAAGCAGATGGAGTATGTCCTTATAC